AATTTCGAAACTTGCCTAACTGCATTGAAAGGCACTGATTTTCAAATCAACTTGCAAAAAAACTGTGCACCTCGTCCCGAACTTACTGCGTGACCTAATCGATGACATTCAAATGCGCAAAGAGCCAATTCTGGCAGGAGATCAGACCAGAGAAGATCATAAAATCAGGTTCTTCCATCGGCCTTGGACACCTTATCATTGATCCACACCGATCGGCCCCCGGCCCCGGAAGCCCCGCCTGCAACATATGACACGCAGAAAAATGAAACCGCTGTGAATAAAATAAAAACTGAAGAAGGAATCCAAACAAGCGAATAAGAAATAGCAGCGTAGGAAACCCACGGATTTTTCAGACATATTTTAGAAAAGCGGCAGTAAACTGTTCTCGACGATTTAACGCACAAAACCTTCCGTTCACTGGAAGGTCGCAATCGATAAATCAAACGACCAAACCTCAGCCTTTTTCAACGATTTTCACATGAGTTCAAATAGAGAAGAAAAACTTTGTTCGAAATAAAATACTCCAACGCACACCTTGTAATACGGACTTGAAGTGCATTCGTCAATGTCTTCCGAACTCCGTAGTGTTTTTGTTAGTCGCGTTTGCCAGTATTGCTGGACCCCATTCTGCGAAACCGTTCGATTTCTCGTAGTTCTGTAACGCTCAGATGAAATTCTTTCTTCTCCTCACATTTGAAAATGACTTACTTCAGAGATTGATTTTTTTTTTTGTTAGAGATTACGTCGACCAAAGCGAATCAGCCGTAGGCCGCACAACGAGTAACTAACGTAAGTTTATCGAGATCGAGTTCACCGAAGTTCACAAGGTTAGACCGAGTAAAGCTGCAAAAAGACGAAATTATTGAAGAACAAGATAAGAAAGCCTGTTACACCACAGCATGGTCGTTAGTTTGGACACTTCAGAATGAGTACCTAGTCTGCACCCTCATGATCATATCCTTTCCCAGGCTGCACTTATGTGGCGAAATGTGGTTTATCCACAGTTCAGAGTTGGCGAGCGCAATGTGGCTCGGGGGGGGGGGGCTGTAAAAGGCCTCTAGGACAAGCCTAGGCAGCAGGGACGAACTCCGGAGAATACGAAAATTGCTTCCGCACACCGGAGTTCCTCTCCTCTTCAAAAGCTTAGTCCTGAAACTGAGCGTTTCCGTGATCTTGATGCGATGTTACATGGAAGCTCCCACCCCTGAGCCACATTGCAACAGTTGGCGACTCAGGTCAATAGGCTTACATTGGATTGAGTCGAGCGTCGAGCCATACTCTGTGATCTTGCGAGCTCGCGTTTTCCGTGCAGTAGATGCGTATCGATCACCCATGCGACCGCGCAATCGCACGTACGCTCGATCGCATGGTCGATACGTATCCACTCCACACTCGAACTGTGAACCAAACTGCAAAAGTATGACCCGACTCTTACACGTTACTATTTGGTGCACTCTCTGAGCAGTTCGGACCATTCGCCTAGCTGCCTATTCGCCTCACTTGAGTGGCCAACCCTTATGGCTCTAAGCCAAGTCTAGATTGAGCTGATACCGGGCAATGATTTGCAAAACATTCCGATTGGAGCGTGCACGGTCACGGCATGTGCAAACGATAACAAGCAGAAAAGAAGCTGCTGAAGCTATAGTAAGCTTTCCCGCCATATAACAACACTAGTGTGGGCGCCTGGATCTTCTCTGTTCTAGGTATCTCAGCGAAATCTACTGATTACAGACCGAAATACAGGAATGAGTTCTGAACAAGCTTGGACGCTCTCCTTAAAGTTCCCCGGCGCTCATGTCCTTAGAAGGAATATCCAAAACAGGGCATTCAAAAACCGCTGAAGGGGAAACTAGGACCAAGTCCAGATGGAATAAACGCTCCGAGTTGTATTAGAGGCCTACTCACTTCAATGTCCCCCCTAAGGACATGAGCGCCAGCTCCCCTTGTCCTTAAAGGGAGACATTCAAAAGGGCCGATGGTGACCTTGCATTTATGATTTCCAACGAATCAAAACATACCCTTTCTGTAATCGAAATCGAGATCAAACGAGGGGAGGAGGATGATTCGTTTGACCGCTCACAGCTCAGTAGATCCAAACTCGCCTAAAATGATCCAAATCCCCACTCGAGAATCATCTGCTTATCACTTGGTGAAAAACAAAAAGTGCGACATACTTCCGATGATATGGATAACAGGAACAGTCAGATTTCGAAGTGGCCACGCTATTCTGTAGACTAAAATTTTCTTTGCTTCCTTAATGTCGTCGTGCTTCGCCGTGAATTCTAGTTATATGTAGAATCAGACGCAAAACATGGCAGACCTTCTACTACAGATGAGCTGAAACAGATTCGAGCTTGAAGGGTGTCAACTGACGGAGGCACCGAGGTCGTGCCCATCCTGCTCAGCCATTGCCCTCTTCCATACCCTCTACGCATTTTATTCATCTGCACCCAGTCCCAGTGTCCAAAATTGCTATATCGTTCAGAAAGCGAGCACGTGTAATAAAGAAACATTAGTGGGGCGATTTGTAAAAAGAACGCACACGAAGATTTACCGGAGTCCTCGAATGACCCCCGTAGCCTGCTCGGTACAGAGAAAACCCACTAACCTGACCCCGACCCTGACCTTCAATTTGGAGTGGCAACAATACCAACCTCAATCACAACCCGCTCTTCTAGACCACAACGTTGTTTTTGAATCGATAGAGGCGGTCAAGCTCATGGATCGAATTTGTCGCGCTGTACGCAAAAATACGTTGTCGAACATTACACCGTGCGCTCTTTGCGGAATTCGCTCCGCCTTGTCAATTTGGAGTTCTGCGGCGGAACTGCGCTCGATAAAGTGGGTCCCTTTTGCATTTCCATTGTTTTTACCTTTTGGACTGCTATGTTGCTTACTGAATTTCACTTTCATAGCGGATTTGGTGTTTCATTTGATGGAACTTTCTTTTGAAGTAGCATTGTCCGGTCTGTCACTTTTGTTGCTAGTCATTAGCTCGTTCGTTTTTCTTGCAGTGATGTTGACTTTCTCTTGCAGTGATGTTGATTTTCTCTTTTTAGGTTATCATAAATGGAATGAATTTTCATTGCTGACGTAACCGCTACTGTTGTTGGCCGTGCAATGAGCCGTCATCGCTTTCACATTTCTCAATAGCTTCTAGTTAATCAGATTAGGGCAGTGGAAATATGGTGAAGGTGAGCATCTTAACCTGCTTCATTTGATCTCTACCGTTTTGAATAGTCATTTTATAGCCAATGTGCTGTTCAGCAGCCATTTTCAGCAGTTAGTGTACACATATCGACCGCGTTTGGTTTGGCGACTACGCTACTTTATTTAGTTCCTTATTTATTTCTATGCTACCGAGGCGCATTATAGGCAACAAAAGCAATTCGTTAGTGTAGCCCGAATGACTCGAATTGAAACCTGAACATGAATTTTTCATGTTTATAATTTTCGTGGTTGCAACGCGTTCACTACACTCAGAGCTAATTTCTTGCCGGCAAACCCAATAGTCATCGGCTTCTGTGAATAGTTTGACGTGTTCGAGATTTTCGGCTTCCATGTTGATCTGGACGTTGTCAGATCTGCGGCATTATGATCGTATTTACTGTTTAGAATTTGGGGTTCTTACTAGGGGCAAGTGTCAATTCCATATTTCTTCGCACAACACTACTAAAATACATCTTTGAAAAGCAGAAGTAGGCGAGGAGATGCAGTTGTATTTGGCCTTACAACCACTGCACGAGTCAATTCGTTCAGAGAGAGGGAGGTGTAATGAAGGCAATAATTATATTATTGCCAGCAGACACGGTATTCCTGTCCTTGGGACGATGGTCTATATGCCTTCATTATCTGTTAAAATTCCCGCAACTTAGTTATGAACAGGAAAAGTAACTTGGGCTCATAGAAAAGAGATCGTGAGTTCTACTCTTGGCGAGTTTGTTTTAGCATTTTCCAATTACCTAAAAATTGTTTTCTCCTTACACTGTGGAATGAGTGGTAGTGGTTCTTCCATGGTGAACTCGAGGGCAGTCTTGAATTACTTGTGAAACAGCACTTAAGAAGTTTTTTTCGCTTAAGAGTGATCGCGTCACCCAGATGGCATCACAGAACGTCGATGATATCGTTTTGCAAACGTCTCGAGTTTTGGACGAGCTATTTAAGACGCTGTCTCGTCACTCAGAATTCATTCCATCAGTCTTTTTGGTGTCGTCGTTCAGTGAAGGTTGGTTGTTCTAGGTTATTTTGAGTCGATTATCTTTGTATTCTATCTACGGCTTCTTTGCATCTTACTTTGCTGCTGTTGAAAAGCTTACTTTTATAGAATGCGAGCGTGTTATCAAGTCTAGTGTTAGTCGCTTAGCGGAAATTTACTCAACGAAGTCGTTGTGGTCGCAGTACAGTATAATCACTGAGGTACGAAGGTCCTTTCAAATGTTTTTTCTTTATTTGAGTACGCCCGTCTTTTGTGCGTTTCAACTTCAATTTTTTTTGCATTTGCGTAGTTTAGTTACGTCGTTTGGGCATTCCGGAATTGGTTGTTCTGTTAGGGAATGCTTTCCGCTGTGCGAAGGATGATGTAACTGTGCCACTTCGCCTCCTGTTACAAGATGTAGTACCTACCGCTCAAGAAAACAAACGTTAGTTTCTTTTTGGTATGATAGATCACAGTCAATAAAAGGATCGATATCACGGCGAATTCAGTTTCTGCCTTTTTGTTGAAGTTTTTCGAATGTGTATCTTCTATTGTGCAGCTGCTTCTGTCAGCCCTTTTGCGCACTACCATACTGGCTACTCTAAAGTGAAACCCGTATGATTTAAAACATTTTGACAGCAATTTGTGGTTGGCTTTTTTGGTGTAATCAATAGTAATGACGAAGACCTTGCTGTTTTAAATCGTTCTTGCATTGATGTACTATCAGTTTGAGATTTAAGCTACATTTTATATTTGGAAAATTTTCCAAAGGTGTTTTTTTCTAGTTATTCTTCCATCGTACGCAATGGCTGTCGGTGAAAATTCTTCGTTCACGTTGGGGTTGGCCGCTGATGGGCCTGTCCGTGATGCACGTAAAGTCCCTGTGGAAGCGGTAGGTAATTTTCAAATGTTTTCTGAACATGAAGCAACTGGTCATTACTCATATAGAAGTAGTAACGAGTACTTGTTCTTATATTTTATGTACATGGTGTCATGTAATATTGCTGATAAACTAGTAGGCTGGTAGCGGTGAGCCCATGTGAAAAACGACATGAGTATATGTCAATACGAGTTCATTCTGGTGTCCAATCGAAATTTTCAGGTCAAAAAAGTTTCCATGTCGAATAGCCACACTTTGTTCCTCACCCAAAAAGGAGTAGTATTTGGATGTGGAGTTGCGTCGAACTTTGGAAAAAGTGACGATATCGGTAGTCTGGTGGTGAATCCTATCAAAGTGGATTTCCCTGGAGAGGTAATTCTTATGTTCCACCTATCGACTATTATCAAACGATTTTTTGCAGAACCTTCCCGTTGTTGATGTTGCAGCAGGCCCGCACCACTCTGTCTTCATAACATCAAAAAGTGTGAGTAATGTTTACCTAATGTTTTCTCATCATTCAAGTTCGTCTGGTTCCGATCAACTTTTCTGTATAAGTTCTTCTTATTTTCTTAGACAATAATAAGAGCTTCTAGCGAATATTTGGTAGCGGCTCTGTTTTACCTTAAGACGAGTACGCCTAAGGTAGAGAACTCCTTGCAGTGCTCTTACTCTTAGTGCTTTTTTAAACTTATTCGGGCGTCAAATCTGCTGTTTCAGGTTTACGTGTGTGGACTAAATTCTGATTTCTGTCTCGGTCAGAAAAAGGATAAGTGTCACTATTCATTGAGGAAGGTGAAGCTTCCACTTCCTGAAGGTGTGAGAAAGTTTCATTTTGACAAGGTTAGTTGCGATGAATTCTATAATCTTGCCTAACCGCGCTTAAGTCTATAGTTTTGGTCTTTCAGTGACAATATTTCTTCAGGAAAACATATAGCAGGCTTCACAGTGAAATGTTGCAAAGTACTTCTCAGCCTTGATTCCAGGTGTTCACCAATGATCACTGTACACTTATTTTCTCATTCTCCAATACCACGACTGAAATCTGGATTGCTGGAAGAACGCCGCTCAAAATTAGCGAGGGCTTTACAAGAGTTGAAAAAAGTTCAGGTAAAAACATGTACTTCTTCTCGTGTGTCCTCCATGCGAGCACTTTTTCGGCCGCACAATGCAACTCTCACCGTAGGCAGGGAAATCGATCCAGTGGCTTGAAATTTCTAAAAGCCATCTTCTTCTGATATAGCGTGGGGGCCTAGCATGTTTCTTCGAGGGCTTTCCTTGTGCCCATCCGTTCTCGCGCACAAGCAAGATGAGCCTATGAAGAATTATGGTTAGTGTTGCTGCTGTACTGATAGTATGGTTGGAGGCGCTGCGTTTCAAAACAGAGGTTAAAGATAACAGTCGCTCTGAATGGAATTAGGAATAACTTCATCTGAAGAAGGTTTACTTTTCAGAAAATGCATTGACCAAATTTATGGTGTTTATTGGAGGATAATCTAATTTCTAGAATAACGTGGAATTTTTTTCAAGCTTCATCACGAGCCGTTATTCTTTTCGAAAGCAATCTTTCGCAAAAGAAAAAATAAGCTGATTTGAAGACTAGCAAGTATACTTCTCATAAGATGTCAATTTTGCTTTTTAAATTCAGCTACTTAGAAAACATCTGTCATCGAAAGCCGAAATTTTTCCTGAATTTTCCTCACACTTTCAATGAAAACATCATCCTCATTCGAGAAGTACTTCGTGCAGAAGTAGAAAGACATTCGAAATTTTTGGTGCACTCCTCTTCATTTTTTGGCGCTTTTGATCAATCACTTGAGGCTTTTCTCTAACCATAAACATCACGATTTTCAAACAGTGGTGTGGTGACAGAGAAAATTATGAAGTATACTTTTTACAAATACAATAATGTTTGATTTCCTGACATGATTGAGAGAAAATTTTACTGTTACTTTATTATGTGGGGTCGAACAACCTTTGTATATTTCGGGTCTGTTTCTAAATTTTATTTAGCGTCTTTCTGTTAGAGTGAGAGCGGGTAATAATCGTAGGTGCTCTCTCGTAGGTAGTTTAGTTTGTCCTTCATCCAGTGTAAATCGTTTCGTTTCAGAAGTTTATGAAGTCATCCGGTCAGATCCAAATTGTCTCGGCTCATTTTGCGAACTTATGGCGGCTGAGATTGGACAAGTACCAGTGGTACATTTTAATCTTATGTTAACTTCATTTCTACTGCGTTTATTTCCACTTCTTACTCTAAAGTAACACAGTTTTTTTTATAGATTTTACCTCTCAACATTGTCTCAGTTGACCACAAGAGAAGGAATCTGAAGGAGTGTACGGTAAGGATTTCACTCCACCGTTGCCACAGGTTTTGCAATGGTTTC